TAGCCTCCACCATGAGTTTCAGCATGAGAATCTGATGAGGTTCAACAAGGATAAGTGCACAGTCTTGCACTTAGGATGGAAGAATCCCATGCACTGCTACAGGCTGGGGAGCGACTGGCTAAGTGGCAGTTCTGCCAAAAAGGACCTGGGGATTACAGTGGACGAGAAGCTGGATATGAGTCAACAGTGTGTCTTTGTTGCCAAGAAGGTTAACGGCATATTGGGCTGCATTAGTAGGAGTGTTGCCAGCAGATCAATGGAAGTGATCATTCCCCTCTATTCGGTGTTGGTGAGGCCACATCTGGAGTTTTGGGCCCCGCACTACAGAAATGATGTGGACAAATTGTAGAGAGTCCAGTTTGGGGCCCCCCACTACAGAAATGATGTGGAGAAATTGTAGAGAGTCCAGCGGAGGGCAACAAAAATGATTTGGGGGCTGGGGCACATGACTTACGAGGAGAGCTGAGGGAACTGGGCTTATTTAGTCTGCAGAAGAGAAGAGTGAGAGGGGATTTGATAGCAGCCTTCGACTACCTGAAGGGGGATTCCAAAGAGGATGGAGCTAGGCTGTTCTCTGTGGTGGCAGATGACAGAACAAGGAGCAATGGTCTCAAGTTGCAGTGGGGGAGGCCTAGGTTGGATATTAGGAAAAACTATTTCACTAGGAGGGTGGTGAAGCACTGGAATGGGTTACCTAGGGAGATGGTTGAATCTCCATCCTTAGAGGTTTTTAAGGTCAGGTTTGACAAAGCCCTGGCTGGGATGATTTAGTTGGTGTTGGTCCGGCTTTGAGCAGTGAGTTGGACTAGATGTCCTCCTGAGGTCTCTTCCAACCCTAATCTTCTATGATTCTATGAAATGCGATTTGTGGGAAGAAAACAAAGCAAAATGGTGAGCAGAAACAAGAAAACCACACACAGAACAGCAGGGAACTGAACACACATGGCAGAACTTCTAGTTCTAATGAGGAAAGTAATGCAACAGAGTTAGAGGAAGTGGGCGAGAACACAGAGACAGGAGCATATTATGGTCAGAGCGAACAGGGCCATGGAAATTGGGCCTGTTCAAAGCACAACCAGTGCCCCTACTTTCCCTAGATGGCAATACATGGAGATGAGAGCAATGCTTCCAAATCCATATGAAAATTCCAAAGGCAGATAAAATACAGGATTTAAAAGGGGCTATGTCCCTTCATGCCATGGCTGAGGAAGCTCTTGAAGTACATAACACTAGTTGAACTATGTACCTACCAAGACCTTCATATTTACAGATTTTTTTTTAAACTCAGTGTTGTTGTTTTTTGCTCCTCAGTCCTTGTTGCTCCACCGCCTTTGTAAAACTGGCCTGAAACTGGTAATTTCAAAATCCCCCATTGCACTTTGGGGAGTATAATCCAGAATAGAATTAATTTTTTTAAAAGAGCCAGCCAAATCAGCAGAGTAATTATTTGGTCTTTCCCTTCCAGATTGGGTGAGCAGCCTGGTCAGTTGCACCCAGAAGTTAATATCAGAGGGGATTGCAAAGCCCACCCTTGAAGAACATATAAGGGTTTGCAATGCCTAGCCTTATTTCCCCCACATCTGAGACTTGCAACAACAGGTTAGATTAGAGGTGGCAGTGACAGGTGGGGATGGATGGAATTTAATACATAATGATACTTAGTAATTATCCAAGGTCCACTGAAGAAAGTGGTCAGTCTTTTCTAATAGACACTGGATCTGGCTGAGACAGAGATTTTCATCTGAAAATATCAAAATACTTCACAAAGAGGTGTAGCTACGTCCATTTTTTCTGATGAGGTACCTGAAGTACAGAGGTTGAGACCGGGGCGAGATCACAAACTATGTCAATGGCAGAACTGGGGACAGTACATAGATATATATACTGACCACTCCAATCTAGGGAATTCATAAACCATATTCCTTTCCATCAACTGTTGGATTGCCCCATGCCCCTCTTCTGGTGCTGTCCTTATCCTAACAATGACATTTCAAGCTTCTTTTTATGGACACCCACCCAGACAGAGAGCTATAAAATTCCTCTTAGTAGCTGTTCTCTACTTGCTTTACCTGTAAAGGGTTAACAAGCCCACAGGTAAAAGGAAAGGAGTGGGCACCTGACCAAAAGAGCCAATGGGAGGGCTGGACCTCCGGTGTGGGTCTCCAGGAAAGAGGGGAAAAGGGAGCAGTTATGCTAGTGAGAAGCTGAAGGCCAGATATGAAAATCATCAGATCATATCTAGAACTACCTATTTAGATATGTAAGTAGATTAGGAATGTTTAGAAAGATGTGATTAGGTTTATTTCTATTTATTTCTTATTGGCTTGTGGAGTCCTCTGTGCTAACCCCAAATGCTTTGGTTTTGCTTGTAACCTTTAAGCTGGACCTCAAGAAGGTTATTATTGATGTTTAAAGTTTGTAAGTGTTTTTTTAAATCTAGCAAAAGCCTAAGTTCGAGATGTATTTTCTTTCTTTTTGATTTTAATAAAATCTACCTTTTTTAAGAACAGGATTGGATTTTTGGTGTCCTATGAGACTTGTGCATATGTTGTTTAATTAGCTGGTGGCAACAGCTGGTTTCCTTTCTTTCCTTTCTTAGCTCTTCCCCGAGGGGGGGGGGGCGTGAAATGGCTTAAGGGTACCCCACAGGGAGGAATTCCCAAGTGCTCCTTCCTGGGTCCAAAGGGGTTTTTTGCACTTGGAAGGTGGCAGCATCTATGGATCCAAGGTCAGAGAGAAGCTGTAACCTTGGGAGTTTAATACAAGCCTGGAGTGGCCAGTATTAATTTTTAAAATCCTTGCAGGCCCCCACCTTCTGCACTCGAAGTGCCAGAGGCGGAATCAGCCTTGACAGAAGTATTCCTCTACTTCTACTCTTTTTCTTTGTTGTCAACCAGTTTTTAATCCATAGAAGGGCTGTATTCCTGCTAACTGGCTAACAAATTTCCTAATCTGCTTCCTGTGTGTGATTTTATCAGAAGTCCTACATTAAATAAATGATGCACTAATTCTTGTTTATGCCAACAATTTAGTTAACACTTGATTTCAAAGAATTAATTATCATTTGCAAAGGCCTCTCTGGTCTTTCCTTATCATATAACACTCATTAATTGGTTAGTGCTTGTTCAAGTGCTTTGTGCTAGTGATTCTTACTTTCACCTAGGTCAGTGGTTTATTACTCAACTATTTCCCCCCAGTTCTGGAATAAGACTTCATGGACTACAGTCCCTCTGAGCACCAATGAGCTCCTTTCTCAAACATACGTATCATACTGGTGGCAAAATATCAGCTATTTATATCAGACTTTTGTTAGTAGCTCTTTCTTCTTCATTTCCTTCAAAATTCTTGAATGAATACCATTCAGTCCTGGTGACCAGACCCTGAGCCTTAAAAAGAAATTAGTTGTGCAATTCTGTGCATACAATATGTCCCCAATTTGTGTTTGCCTAATTTGCACTCACAGTTACTGTAATTGCATGCATAAATGATCTAATGACACACACAAATGACCAGTGAGACACATAAATGATCATTTCCATGTACAATCTCAGTAATTGCTCATAATTTTGAAAATCAGGAACTTAATATTAATTTGATACTAGTTCGTATTGTACAACAGTTATATTTAAAGATTTCCCTTATCACACAACAAATGGCGCAGTCTTTTTCCATTATGTCTTTTTTCCATTATGGTTAATTGGTGGATAACAGCATTTAGTGCTTAACACAGTAGGAACCTCTTTTTGCTGATAAGCAGGGTTCAAATGTTTTGCCTCAAGTAGGCAGGACTGCAATCTATTTATGGACTATAATGTGTCTCACAATAACCACAGATTTATACTCTTGTCAAACAAGGGAACAGTGTATTTATAGAGAAATATTCATCCAACTTCATTTGGGGCAACGAGATAACAAGTCACCTGACTATTTTTGGCCAATTATTTTGACTGCGACTAATCATAAGATTACAAATATCTGTCTAATCAAGTTTAACTCTTTGTTCTAGCCATAAATTCCACAGAAACCATTCCCTAGCTTTCTATTTACTAAATTTAGGTAAATTTTAATATGATGTTGTAGTTGTTTTAAGTCATGAGGCTTTAGTCCCATCTATTTTTCTCTTACACTGTGAAACTTCTAGATAGTATAAAAGTAAATCCCCTATGAGAGATTATCAGGAAGTGCCATGGTGTGACTGAATGACTGCACAGTATTTTTGAATGCTGTTATGGTCTTGCTGCCTTGTCCGTTCTCACATGCTATGTCAGGCAACAGAAGAGAATGACATGGAGTTTACTGGTTTCAGAGGCTTTAGACAATAATTAGAAGGGGAGATAGAGAAATGGTATAGAACCAGAAATGCAAGCTACAGTAATATTTTCAAAGTGATTGAATATAGTCCTATTTTAATAACAGAATTAGTATTACATCAATTTTACTAACATTATTATTAGGTGAGTAAATTACAAAATGCCATGACAGAACAATTAAAGATGATCTTTTTTAGGGGGGCTGACTGTTTATCTTTTACTTACTTAGCTGATGTCTAAGTCTGTAAATTTAATAAACATAGAGCAAGATATATTGTTCACAACTACAATGAATTATATAGTAACATTCCTAAATAGCAATTGCTGCAATAGTAATCCACCATTGTCATTTAATAATAATTATGCTCGTTTACATTTATGTAGCACCTTACCTCCTGAAACATCCCAATGCACTTTAGAAATTTAGTCCTAATCCTGCAATCTGATTCAGGCAGGAAGACCCTGGTGCCCTCCCGTAGACCCATTGAAGTCAATGATCCTCCACACAGGTCCCTGGGCCAGTCCATGCAGCTCTGATTACACACAGTCAGAGTCTTAGGTCTCGATCCTGAAAACACTTAATCCCTGGAGTGATTTTGGTATATAGGCTTGATGCTGCTCCATCAAAGTCAATGGGAAAGTAGAATCAAGACCAGTGAATGAATTGATGAAGAAAAGAATCAAACTTGCCTTCAATAGCTAGTGCTGCAGGCTTCTTCCTTGGATTTTGTTCTACAAGTAGATGAGGAGGCACTGTTTCCTTTTGTCCTGCGCATGAAGGGGTACAAGTTAAATAGTGTAGAAAATGAATCAAAACATTATTTTATATTATTTAGCATCTGGGTCTTTAATCACCGTGTTTCCCCTCACAACGTGTATTATTCATAACTTGGGGTATAAGCTGACATTTTAACAGAGTCACTAGCAGACTAATTTCTCTTCAGAACTGTTCCTATCTAAAATATTGCATTTTGCATAAAAACTGTGCATACCCAACAGACATAATTGAAGGGAAAAGCATATCTTAACAAACACAATCTATTGAAAGAGACATTCTAAGTGTCTGAGGATGATGTCATTCTAGCTGAGTGCAATCCTATATTTTGCAATATTTACAGTTCAATTCTTCTTCATTAGACTAAAAAAACCCAAAAGATTAATACTTTAATGAAAAGGTCACATATTCAGAACCTTGTGTCTATAGTAAAAGCATATTTTCTTATACAAAACAAATGATCCTCAGTTGTTCCCTCACGTCCACTTGTTATGAAAACTGTTTGAAACACTGTTCAAAATATTGTGTATTTTATTCTCAAGGAGTCACCTTAATTAACCAACATCAGGTGGGTCATGCAGTGTAAACATTATCTAGCTTTTGATCCTTACTGCCTACTGAAAAGCCTTCGCTAGCTGGTAGGCATAGGACTAAGAGTAAGTCTACTTTATTGTGTGCAGATAGTGTTCTTTCAAAGCTTTCCTCAAACCTAACTTCTTTTCAACAAGCATTAGCAACCAAACACAATTTTCGTCCCCTTATTATTACTTATATTGTATCTTTTGTTTTGCAATGTTTGTTTGCAAAATGCTTTTTACCCCATTGTTGCTTTTTCCAGGTAAGTATTTCTATAACTGTTTTTATTGTACTGGTTTATAATAATTGTGAAAACCCCTTTGGTTTTGTGTTGTGCAAAATAAATAAATATATTATAATACTTATATGGGCACATCCGCCTTCAACTAGCACACCAGGAGCCATTCATTGATAAGATGCCCAGCCTTATAGAGCTGTAACCTTAGCACTTCCTTTTGGACAGGCTGTCTCAGGGCATTGCTAATGAGCTATAAAGTATGAATCCAGTTCAGCTCAGTAGGGATTAAAAGTTGTTTCTTCTATTGGATACTTGTTGGCCCCTTAGGAAAGATGAGTTGGGTGTGTCTCCATTCCAGCTCCCACATGACAAACTCACAGCCACTCGTTGCACTAATTGATAAACTCAGAAGAGAAGCCAAGAACTGCATAGGACGTGGAGACTTTGGGCTTATTTGCACAGTGCATTAGTGCATGCCAGCTGAGGTGTAAATTCCAGTGTGCACCAGAGTGTTACGCACTAAAAGTTCCCTAACGCATGTTGATGTAGTACCATTTCAAAGAGTACTACGTCAACGTTCACCAGGGAACTTTTAGTGTATGCTAGCAGTCAGTGCACAATATGCTGGTGCACACTATAATTTACACCCCCAGCTGGTGTGCATTGATGCACCAGGTAGAGACGCTCTGAACTACTGCTGTTCAAGATGAAGTCCCCTCCACTAATCAAAGTTGTGGCATACTGGGAGTGTAGTGTGTGTGAGAAACTTGCCCTGCTGCTGACCTAAAGGTAAACAGTGGGATTTTTGCCCTAGAATTTTCAAGTCAATGCCTTGCATAAGCACTAAATCCACACTATTCTTTAAAAAGCTGAAGTTTACAATGATATGCAAATTATCTGTAAACATGCAGTTTAGCTCAGGGGTTCCAAAACTGTGGTACATGTAACATTGATGGTACACATGAATTTAATCACTTCATATCAAGTTTTTTTAAAAGGTGGTATATGAACCAATAAGTTTTGGGAACCTCTAATAGCACATCAAATAGCATAAAATGTCACACACAGAGCTGCCCAAAATTTGGCAGTAATGCCTGAACCATTAAAACAAATGCTGAAATCTCAGGTTTCATCAAGAATGCTGTAATTTTAGCAAAAAAACAACACGAGGATTATTAAAGCTCATACATAGAATCACTTTAGTTTCATGTCAGTGAATTAAGGAAGGGCAAATTTTAGGAATTCAGATGTTCTCAACAGTTTTCCAAACCTCTTGGGTCTAATAATCAGGCTTGAAATCAGCAGGAAGAAATCTAATAAGATGCCTAGTACATCCTGTTTCCAGCCAGGTCAGAAATACCATGAGAATAGCCTCTCTTAGTACAGGATTTCATTGCTTCATGTCTAGTTCAAGGTGAAAGCAGAAAGTGTAGAGCAGTGTGAAAATTAACAAAGAATAGAGGAGGGAGGAGGAGAATCCAAATTTTTTCTACTTTCAAAAAAGTTTTGGTGCCAGTTTTGGGCTAAAGTTCAAGTTAGCATTTTTTTTTAATTCTAACTAGTTTGCCCATCTCTAAACGGAAGAAAAGACAAATTATACAATTAGAACTAACTGCTTTTTGTGAGGGATGATAAAGGGCAGCCACTCAGAATGTTGAGTAGGTTAGTAATTAAGAAGGATAGTTGGTTATTTGGACTGCACTGTGCACTTTCTGCACTCTAATGGAAAATACCGCTTGGGAGAGAGTTTTAGCTCCTATCGGTCGATGTACAGGACAGCAGTGGCGGATTTAGAGTTAGTGGGGCCCTGTGCGCAGCTTCATTTTCGCCCTCCTCCCCCTGCTCAGGAACCAGCCATGAAAAAGAACATTCTCTCTTATCTCTCCCCCCCCCCCGCGTTTTTCATTCTTTTTTTCTTCATTCTTCTCCTATATTATAAGTAATAGGAAGTAAATGAAAATAAAGTGAGGTACCTTGATTGGGGGTTGGGGTGCAGGAGAGGGTGCGGGGGTCAGGCTCTGGGAGGGAGTTTGGGTGCTGGGTGCAGGTTCTGGGCTGGGGCAGGGGGTTGGGGTGCAGGGGTCGGGCACTGGGAGGGAGTTTGCATGCAGGCTCTGGGCTCAGGTGTGCAGGCTCTGGGAGGAAATTTGGGTGCGGGCTCTGGGCTGGGCAGAGGGTTGGGATGTGGGAGGGGGTGAGGGGTGCAGGCTCTGGGAGGAAGTTTGGGTGTGGGGTGCGGGCTCTGGGCTGGGGCAGGGGGTTGGGAGGGGGGAGGGGGAGGGGTGCAGGCTCTGGGAGGAAGTTTGGCTGCAGTTCCTGGCCAATGGGAACTGCAGAGTTGGAGCTTAGGGCGGGGGCAATGTGCAGACACACCCACCCAGGAGCCGCAGGGATATGCCGGCCACTTCCGGGAGCAGCACGGAGGGAGGGAGGCAGCACGGGCAGGGAACCTCCTTAGCCATGCTGTCCTGCTGCTGGCATGTCTCTGCACTCCCCTTGGGGGGAGGGGGCAGCGGGTCTCCGTGTGCTGCCTGGGGCGGGGTAGTGCATGGAGCCGCCTCCTCGCCGCCAGGGGCAAGCAGAGACGTGCCAGCAGCCAGCTGCTTTTGGGAGCGGCGTGTGGCCACTGGCCACGGAATGCAGGCAGCCTGCTGGCCTGAGCCCTGCTGCGCCGCTGGCCGGGACTCAGGGGCAGGTTGTCAGATGAGATTTGTCCTGCATTTTCGGGGGCCCCCTTTCATTGGGGGCCCCGTGCCACCGCACTGTTTGTTTCATGGTAAATCCACCTCTGTGGGACAGTCCTATTACTTCACTGTTCCTTGTTTTACCAAAAGTTCTAATGACTGCACCAATTTTAGTTAGTATAATCCCAATATTATACCATTTACCACTAATGACTTGTCAAGTTCTTTTTTATAGTTTTACACAAGTTTTAAGCAAATCATTATTAAAATTGACCACCTGACCTACGTATGAGGATGTTTAAAACACCAAAGCTTCAACTCCACAGATCAAAAAGTCTCCCTTAGGCCAGAATGTTTGTTCTGAGCAGGTTTCCATATATCCTGATAAAAAGCTACTTTAATGTTTCCATGTGATATTAAATGACTATTCACTTTGATGGGAAGGCAAATGACAGTAGCCAAATAAATATTTCATCCATTCTTTTGATGAAATATGTTAAAGAGAAATCTAAGTCAAATTCCTTCTTTTCTCTCTCTCTGTGGCAAGTCATAAAACAGAAAGTATTTTGCTACGGCACAGAGAACTCAGAAACAGCAATGCAGAATTGGTCATATCTGATTAGACCATCCAGCCTCCTGATTTCAGCAGTGGCTAGAACTGGACAACAATTCATGCTGTAAATGAGGGGAAGGCAGGTTTTGTTTTTTTTAACTGACACTGGAGGTGATCAGATTAGCTCATGAAGTAGCAGAATTTATCAAATCTTTAACAACCATTGCTATTGGTTATACAATTATCTAACCCCTTTTTCAAATGCAGCCACAGCCCTGAATTTGAACTTGTATGGCAGTGAATTTTAAAAGCTGATTAGAAGTGTAAGAACATTTTATTTTAAATATGTTAACTACTATATTCATTTCAAAGGAGCCCTTTTTATTCTACTAGGGGAGAGGGCAAAATGGAAGGGCTGTCTAATTTATTTTTTGTATTCAGGGCCTGCTTTTCCTAAGAGTCAGACATGCAATTACATGCACAAAAATGTGTGCATATTTGCATGCCCAATTTGCAAATGTGCTTATCGTGATCATATCCACAACTGGCTAGTTAGATGGGGAGCTAGCCATTTGTACTCAAATATCTGACTTGTACATAAAATCACAGCTATTGAACTTATTTTTCTGCATTTAACTTTTTTAAAAAAATCATTTCCTCAAGAACCAGTTAAAGTTGGTGGAAACCAGAGTAGGGTGAAGGGTTCTAACTTTCTGCATGCAGCGGAGTTCCTGTAAACTCACATAAAACTCACCTATCAGAAACATTGTTATTTAGCAAGAACATCAAGACATTAGAATAGCCTTCTCCACTGACTGAAAGGAAGAAATACTGCAGCAAATGTAATTAGAGATATCAAGATGCTAACATGGGTGGATCAGTCAGATTAAGCCGAGTCCTGTATTCTGCAGCTCAAGCACCCACTTTATCAACGTTTATAAA